GATGGCAAGATCCAAGAAAAGAGATTGGTCCTTGTTCATTGCAGGAGGATTTCCTTTGCGCAAGGCTAGTGTTTCCCCAAAAATCCCCTGGTGGCCTAGCACTTGTGAAATTTGGATACGGACGTGCCATTTACTTCGCTGAATGTAAGAAAGAAGAATTTTTCCAACAACTCTCTTCTTCCTCACGTTTGACCTCCTTGCAGATAGAGAGAAGAACGTTGGATTAAAACTGAAATTTGCGCCTACAAACGATTTGCAAGAGGAAGGGATGCCTTTCTACGGAATAAGTTATGAAATCGACCTTAGACGACTCTAAGGACTTAAATATTACCGTGAATTAAAGTTATCAAATCCTAATTAAACTAAAAAGCATGCAATTTAAAATAAATTTACGAGAGTGAGATGTATCCAAATTAAACTAAACATGTTCATTGTTAAATTAAAATGCTATCTACTGACAGATCTAAAAATTAAACTACTGTAGAATTGGAGATTTAACCTTATTTAAAACTAAAATAAACATGAACAGTGATTAAAGTAACATGCTTGAAATTTAAAAGAAGCGTGAACGCTATATAAGTAAGCATTTGATAAAACACTACTTATCATAAACATTAAATTAATTACAGTCAGAAAAAGAACAACACCTTGAAGAAATTTAAGAACTTGAAGTTCATTACATGAAACAAAATTGCTGAAGCAAGTACTCGAACTAGTTTATGTACTGGAATGATGAAAAACAACCTAGATCTATTGGAAATTGTGTTGAAATCCGAAATCTAGAAGCAATTTGTAAAGAAAATGAAAATCTGAAGATTTGCAAGTGTTTAAGTAGGGTTGACTGTGTGTTCTCCCTTCCAAAATTTCTTTTTTGTTCTCTTTTGGCCAGCAGTAACTCCCCACTTGCTGCAGTTACAAAGTTTTGGGTGGTTTCTTGAGGTAGTAGGATAGTTCAACAATTAACCTAGTCATATCTCTTTCTAGATTTTCGTCACTTGTGCCCTTATCAGATAACTGCATTCTACAATTGCAATCTCCTCCTAAATTTCAACTAAAACAGTCCCTTTTTTACTCAAAGAAGTAATTACATGGTAAAATCTTATCATTATCTCCCCTTTTTACCAATGTGGCAGCTGATTTGTCATAGAGCTCAGAATAATAAATCTGACATTGCAAAATTTCCTCCATTCATTTAAAAATATTTTGAGATGTGGCATGATTTAAAATTTTTGCAATTTATAGTGTAAACAGCTAGTAGAATGGGAACCCAAATTTGGGTTTTCAGATCTGTTGAGCTAGCTGGCTGGCTGGCTCCAATTTTAAGAAATTGAAGCTATAGCTGATATGGATTCATGAATTGAGATGTTATTGGAGGAGGAGTAGGCTATGTACAAAAGTAGGTCTAGTAACAAAGAAGAAGAAATTGAGGAAGGATGAAGATGATGAGGAAGAAGAACAAATGGTTTTAATTTTGTTAATTTTAAATTAATTAATTAAGTATTTAAAATGGGCTTAAATGATGTCGAAAAGTCAAAGTAAATAAGCGAGAATGAGGTTCGATCAGAGTCCATACAAGAAAAAATGATTCCATGGTGGTTACAAATTCAAAATCAATCAGCAGTTAACAAAAAGATAACATCAATTGACGTGACACGTCAAATAATGAGTTATTTGTTTAAGTATAAAATTTTGTGGATGCATTTGTCTCTATTTTTTGTTTGGGGTGGATCCGTCTTTGTTGGGGGTGGATCCGTCTTTGTTGTTATACTTTGATGACAGATTTGGATATTTTACCTTAAAAAAAATTCAATTATCATTTATGTACATAGATAAAGGTATCGCCTAAAATATGCATAGGGCTAGTTATATGAATGATAAATAATAATATAATGAGTATTATTCTTAAGAAAAAGTGTATAACTTTTAAAAAATTAAGGGAAAAACTTTTTAAAATTATAAAATTATGTTATTTGTATAACATTTTATTGAAAAAGA